GGTCTTTATGGCTCATCAGAAGGACCTGAAGCTAGGAACGGTCAAACAACTGAAGAAGAAAAAACAATCCCCCACACAATTTTCTTCACAATTTTTAATCGAAGGCAAAAGTTGTTAATGTTTAAAGTAAGTCAATTTTATATACAGCAACAAATTATTAATGAGACTTACTCATGCTTCATTAAAAGCTGCAGTATTGGCACCTCTTCACTCACTCCTGACCTCCTCACAAGCCACGAAGACCAGCTATTCAACTGAACAAGGAGTTGTTAAACAAGGAAGAGAAAAGCTTTCAAGTTTCAGATCTAACTCAATACCAACCATGGAATTCTCCAGTAGCATGAACCAAAGTCTTTCTGATGCTCAAAAATTCACTAAATCCATTTGTAAGCAAGCTGCTAGTCAAAATACTTGAAACTGCACGGTTCAGATAATACAGAAGTATATAAAGAGAAGTTTTATGCATCCATAGTTCAAATAAGAAAAAGTTGACACAGCTTATCTTCTAACTGGATGTCTGGGCAGTTCTTCTCTAATTCCTCCTGGTATTAGGCTGTGAACACTCAGGAAGAGTATTTGTTTTGTATATCTTGTTGTGCTAATTATGTTACCAGGATACTAAATACCAAACAATGGCATATCACATTTAACTATTAAAGATATTGATTAGGAGATTAAAGATATATATCACTTTTCTTTAACATTTTAATAATTGTATTCCTTAAAATACAATTACAGCGAATTACCAATTAATTTAGCATAAGAAAATCAGAAAATTCTTGCCCAGTCTGTGACACTAGCAGTAGAAGAAATCAAATGGGTCAGATATAGAGTAGCAAGAGGGTTTAGTTTTGCATTCTGGCAAAGGAATATGGAGTGAACCTTTATACAAGACTTGTTACTAGCCATACAGTATTTTATGTCTTGCAATTTTGGGTATCACAAATAATGTTTGAGTTTTTTAATCCTTAGGAGAGAAGCTGGAAAGAATATCTTATGTAGTTACATTGTTTTGACAGCAAAAGGCTGTAATTTGCACAGCCTGGAATAATTTCTAATATCTATTCAGTCCCTTTACAAAACTATTTTCTGTACAGTGAAAATATCCATGAACCATTTCTGACAGTTAGATGTTAAAGTGAATCAAGAGTCCAATAATTGAAAAATGACAAGATTTTCCTTATGATTAAACATGTATGTTGTCAAACATGATAAACAGTAGTTTTGAAATAAAAAATAATTGTACCTACTGTGATTTGCATGATAAGGTACTTGAAAAAGAATGACTAATGTGAAGTTAGGTACAAGGTATCAGCATGAATATACCAAAATAATTTGTGAAACCAAGACAACATCATAGACTTCCAAAATGCAATTTTTACAGGTAAGTGCAACCATAATACTGCTCAGAGACAAGTGGTGACTTTGTCAAGCAACAAAGGATGAGGAAAAACAATTGCCATAATTGATACTAGAATCATTTCATTTTAAAATATAGAGGAGAGAAACGCTAGATTTGCAAGTCTTCAAATAAGTTTTATAGCATCATCTTAAATGCTTTTAATGAAAACTTTAGCTAAGTTCATATCTACCAAGTCTCAAACACTGTATTTTCTACTTCACACTCCCCTGTCATGGTACCTGAGACTAGGACCTGTCCCAGGACCTCACCAAGAACACAGTGGCCAACTGACCTACACTGAGATTGGCCAGCCAACTGTGTCTGGTCCTCAAGACCCCCAGAAGTTGCAGAAAACATTCTACCAGTCACATTCTCACCCTGCAGTCACACTTCATCGCAGGCACAAACATGTTCTGTGAAGCTCCCTAGAAAGCAAAACCACTTTACTCCATGTCCTATCCCACGTCTGTATCATCCAGAATGTGACCAACGTAGAGAACTGACAGGCATTGGCTCAGAAAAAGAAGTTTTAAATTTTAAAAATGTTCAGACATTGACTCAAATCCTTGTGATTAGTATTTCCACTAGAGAGATGTTCTGGAGGTGTATACAGATACAAAAATGCAGGTCATACATGTAGGACAGCTTTGAGGAATCTTTACTAATCTGCTGAAGAATCATTCATAAAAATATTGATTATTCCATTCAACAAATACTCCTACAAATGTGACCACACCTAAACCAAATAATCAAACAAGACGCTGCAATTGAAGAGAAGTTATGGAACAATAAAATAAATTTATGTAAAACAGTGAAAAAGTGATTTACCACTGGGAAAATGACATGGCTGTGTCAGAGGTGCCCACACAATCACCTTGTCCTAAAAGTCCAGGAGAAAAAGTGAAGTGCAGACAAAAAAAATGCAATGTTCTTACTACCTAAGATCAACCAATGGCAAAAGTATGAACAGTAGAGTAGCCTACTGCAGGCCTACTATGGCCTTCTGATAACAGATGCTGTCTCATACAGACAGTATAGTATAAAATTCATTTTTTTTCTCTCAGTTCCGAGATACTGATTCTTCAATATCAAAATACTTTTGCTTTTCTTGCACACCTGTAATTCTTTGCTGTTACAACATCACACAGAAAAGTTCATCTGCTGCAGTGTGTTCAAAGTTGGTCATAAGAAGTCCAAGAAGAAAGGAGGCTCCAGATGAATATATTTTTATGAAGCAAAGATAGTTTAAAATAAATAGCTGCCTACAGGATTTGCAAATACAAAAGCTCAGCTGATTCTTCTTCAGTTTGCCCAGCCCCAATGACAAGTAAAATTCATATTTTTGTATGTAGCAGGAGAGAATATTTAGATCAAACAGTGCCTAGAGAAATATAAATATCCATACTTTCCCCATTATAATTGGAAAATAACATTCAGTACCTTTTATAAAGAGTTAAGCTTATAATAAACAACTAATAACTCTGTTAGTCTGTATTTTCTCAAGAGATCAATTATTAGATTTCTCAAGCACATCATTTAATGTGTATTTGGACTTGCACATCAGCTTTGGTACAAAAGGGATCTCTCTTGAAAAACAAGAAGTTCAGTTGACAAAAGTGACGGATGGAAACATACCTGAGAAACAGTCTGTAACAAAGCTTTAGTTAGGGTCAGGATTAAATATTTTTACTATTTTGCCTACCAGTAAAACAACTGTGAAAATTTTGAGATGTATTATTGCAGCATGATGGCTCTGCCAGAGGATTTACACCATATCTTGAACATAACTTTTTTTCTTGCTTAATTCTAGTTTGACACACATTTTCTAGTTATTTGCAAATTTAAAGAAATTAAGATGTTGCCTTGCAAGAACAACATTAAATTGCTCCCAAAAGCAGATGTCAAGCATTTGGCAGTTTAACTAACACAAAAGAAAACATACAGCTGCATACAAATACACAGTATACATCTGCTGCATATAGTTTTCTTCATTTTGACTCCTTGAACACTAACCAGAATCAGGTATTTATAATTGTTTTAGTGGAGAAAATGCCAAACACGCATACTTAATACAATCAGAATTGATACCCTTGTACTTAAGCATGATAGGAATAATGCTGCCTCTCTTGGTCCTACAACAAATCTAGGGTTTTGATTTCTCAGTGAATATCTAAAAAAAGAAAGTAACTTGGGACTTGCTGCCTCATATAATTTTAACAAAAACTAATTTAGGCATTAAAACTTCTGTTACTAGTGTCCTGAAAGTTCATTCCCGGGATTAAATTATTAGAGCATAAAGACAATTGTGTTATTCATAAACCCAGATAAAATTCTGTAGACTACCAATATATTTCATCTAATTTTTATGACCCCTCTGCCCAAATAAATCAATCATGTTAAAGTTAAATTCAGCACAGGGATTTAAGCTCTCCACAGGGAGACACTGGAGATTGCAGACATAAGTCAAATATGAAGAAGAAAGCTGAGATAATGGAAGGTTTATACTGGATTATTCCAAAGCCCCAGTACTTGGCTGAAAGTGTTAAGATAATATATAACAATACATAAGATAATATATAACAAAACAATAAAAGCCTTTTTTATTAAACGTACAACTGTAAGTAAAAAAACTCTCAACTTCTATAACTACTTCTACAACTGCACAGACTTTCTGTTATAATAAAAACCTTCTAAAGATTTGCAGGAAAATAATCAGCCTTAAAACCAGCCTTTAAAAAGCAAGGCTGTAGTTGTACTGATACGTATCCAACTAAGAGTAAATTTACTCTTAGTTGTAGCAGCAGCATATCAAATCTTCAACTTGAATTTGATCTTCCTGTTCAATGAGCTCATTCAAAAAAATACAGGTGACAAGTTATGCTCAATTTAAAAATTGTTGTGCTACATAGCCTCTGAATAAGAAGCATCTGAGTATCACACTAAAGGCCATTAAGGCAATTTTGAGGATCTTCTAGTATAAGGTGTCCTACTGTCTGAAGACATCTGCTACACAAACCATTTAACTGCTGAAAATGTGGCCTGAGAGCACAAGGCAAAAGAAATGGACAAACAAATGAGCTGATGCTTCTTGTGAGGCAGAAGCTGTAACTCATATTGAAGCTCGTAGTTATCTCCTCCAACTACAGCATAAGTGCTGTTGAAGAGAAACAACTGAGCTTGGCAAATTAAGGACTACAACTAGCTAAATGTTTACACATTTTTGTTTGAAAAATGCCTCTTCTTCAGAGGAAATACCAAGTTTTGAAGAAAATTTGCTGGTCCAAAACTCCCAAAAGTCTCATTCCTACCATTCTTTTCTGAAAATCTTCCTTAGGTTTACTACCAGATTCAAGGAAGACAACAGGAGATCTTTTTTCTATGTTTTTTCTGTTAGAAAGCTGAGCAGAAAACAGTCAATATATCAGCTCAAAGCAACCAGAGTAACAATCACTGAAGAAATATGTGCAGAATGGTAGATAACTGTATTATTATAAAATTAAATTAAATAAATGTATATTAAAAAATCAGGCTTAAATGTAGGCATTATGTCACTAACATAAACTGAAGGTTTATTTCTTCAATATTTCAGCCACCCTACCTCATTATTGACTTCAGCAGGTTTTTTCTTTGTTTCTCCAATATCCAAGTAGCTGTGGAAAGAAAACAGGTTTGATTATTTACAGGATCATCTAACTTACAAAGTACCAATATTCTACACTTTTTTCACACATTTAAATTTTGTCTTTACAAATGAAGAAGATTTAAAACTCCTTATGCTTAAAAACAACAGAAAAAGTAAGTAATTATTAATATTAACTAACGTTTAATATAAATCTTCAGGCTAGCCCTCTGGGCTAATGTAAAAGACAGGGGAGAACCAACTATCTACCTTCAAGTCACTGGTGATTAGAACAGACCATCAATAACTCCCTCATCAGAAAGAAGCTCATATACATCTGTGAGGTGGATCTATAATTCTCAGAAGAATATCACCTTACCAGAGTTTTCAAAGTCATAATCTTGCCTCTTAGTTTCTCACAGGAAGTCTCTGGTAGATTTAAGGTTTGCCTGCACACCCAAGTTTAACTCAGGGCATCAGCTAAAGTTTAAAACGATCTACACCACCTGGGTTTCAATGGAATGTGGACACATCTGAACACTTGTGGCTGGATAAACCAATAGTAGCTTCATAACTATTTTATGGATAAAATACATGCCTCAACTGGACAAGCAAACAAAATACATTTATTTGGACAATGTAATGTTAGTCTTGTGATGTTCCCTCATCTCACTTCCAGTGGGAAGGTGCTTTACCAGGAGTTTCAGACCAGAAGAGCTTATTTGAGAAGTCAGGTATACCTAAAGCCAAGCATCAGTACAGGCTCACCAAAACACCTCAGATCTCACAACACATCTGCTGTCCTTCAGTCATGTCATGCTCTGTAGTTAATGACTTGGATCACATTCATTTGCCAGAAGAAACTTTCCTACTTGGCCAAAGTTAAGAATTCATGAGAAAAAAAAAAAAGAGCAAAAGCAGTAAAAAGGATTAAAAAAAAAAAAAAAAAAAAAAGCATCACCCTTTCTTTGAAGGAATGGTCACAGAGATTTCAAGGCTTCGTTGAGAGGGGACAGTAAGACACAGCAAAGTTGCCAGGCTGTGCTTGAAAGTGCATGCCAATGCTTTAAAAAACATAAGTGTAGCACAGGGTATTTTTAAAAGGCTCATATTTAGAAACAAATACTAACTGTTCCAAGCTCTCATATAAAAAGGAACAAGCTCTCTTTAGATAAAAACCAAGAAGTCTTACAGCCTGCAAGATTGAAAAGAAATAAGTGCCTAGGCAACAGTTTGTAACAACATCTGCTGACTATGGTTCTTGTTTTCCAAGCACCTGTGAATTACTTTACTAAGAAAAGTGACAAATACATAGTCAAAGGCTTAAACTCACTGTGCAGAAGTCTGGGCATTCAGTCATCAAATTTCAAGGACCTGCAAATCTGCAAAGTTCTAAATAAGAGCAAAAGCTTTTTTTTTTTTTTACTATGACACTCAAAAAAAAAAATTCTACAAAACTATTCTCACTTACTAAGAAAGCAGAAATGTTTCCAACCTATGACTAGCCAAGCCAGCAATGAAACTACAGCATTGTTTAGAAAGACACAGCTGGAAAGAGGACAATCTACCACTGATGAATGAGCACAAATACAAGTAAATGGGCAAATGAAGGAGGATGAAGGAGTAGCATGCTGAAAAAAAGCTAAAAATCAAAACCAGCTCTAGCATAGACCGCCTTCTTTGAGGAAGCTGAGAGCTGGTGTTATAGATGGATAATGAGATGATTGGCTCTCACAATTAAGGGATGACTATTGTGTGAATATTAAGAAAAGCTTTAGTGATGTGTAGGTATGTTATTGTAGTTTAGATGCCCTCTGTTCTCCCCATAGCTCCCTTTTCCCCCTCTGTACTGTTGCCATCAGTCAGCCTGGGTTGTCTGGGACAGGCAGAGAGAAGGCGTGCAGATGTGTTACTTCCATGGGGCAGTTGGGAATGGAAAAGCTTGTTGCTAAGGGGTGCAGCATGGCAACACCTGACCTCCAATCCAGTTACAAAAAAGCAATCTCCACCGATAAACGGCAAAGAAGAGCTGACTGACAGACTTTGGAAGGGGCCAGAGTTGGCTGATGCAACCCCCAGGGGTATAAAAGATTGAGCACCCATCTTGAAGATGCACTGGCCATGTGGTATGGGCAGTTCCCAGTGGTGTGGATTTTTCCTTATTTAGTCCTTTTGTTGTATTTTTGTTGAGGTTTAATAAACCTTTAACATTTTCAAAGTGAACACTTGTTTTTCACACTGGGGAAGAACTCCACTGGGGTGCAGCCTACATGTCCATTCTTGCTCCACAGCAACAACTCTGATATACCAACACACCTTACCACATTTACACCAAAAAGGTGTGTTAACTTAGGACACCTAATAAATGACAAAACAAGCTGGAAAACTTGCTACATGTTAGAAAAATTACCAACGTTGTCTAAAAAATTGTTATATGTTACAAAAATTGCCAACATTGACTAAAAATTCCTCCGTTGAAGAATTTTTATTTTCTAAAATCAGAATTTATAAATGCTGTTTTTTTAAAATTTAAAAAGTTATTCAGCTAGTTTATCTAGAATATATGCCCTCAGAATTATCAACCTCAAAATGTTAAGAGTCAGGATTTAGCTCATGTGCTAAAGGTGAGTGCAGTTTAGTCTTCAATTCACTGTGAACACGAAAGAGATTCACTTTTGAGTGTAAGGCATCTGAGAAGAAACAAATGCACTGCTTGAAGCTGAACAATGACACTTTCAGCTTCTGCTACTCCTTGGATATTTTCTCCATTACACTCCCACAGCTCCCACACATCAGTGCCACAAGCCTCCATTTCAAAGTTCAGCCCTGCATTGTCTATTAGAGCAATTAATATGTCCAATAAGAATCACTGGGGGAAAATAAAATAAATACATAAAATTAAAAAATAAAATCAAACTTCTTGCTGCCATCAGACCAGATTCAGATCCTTTAAGGTGGATGCTTTGGTCTGTCTGTAACTGTAACTGTTTACCTGTGACACATTACACAAACATACATTTTTCTTCCATTCCTTCACTTCCTTCCAGAAAACTGTTCCTTCCAATTAACCCTTCCTCTCCTCTGACTTTTCTAAGATGTCTCCCTAATTGCCATTCTGTCTACAACCCAATTAAGAACATTTCAACATTAAGCCCTTCAGCTTCTTTTTAATGCTTATAAAAGCACTGCAAACATTTCCAGCATTATGTAAACAAATACTAACAAGTGAACAACCGCAGTTCTGAATACAGAAATTGAAGGGATCTCAAAACATCCCATTTATCCTCTCTACAGCACAGGACTAGGACATATATATAAAGGATATATAAAACAGCCTGGTTTTACCCAGTTCCTTAGGTTAGCTTTTCTTTAAGTATTACCTTTGTTGGCCTTAAATAACTAGGTACCTTGTTGCTTGTTGCAATCATAAAAGTCTGAAAAAGCCTCACCATAAAACTCTGACCATAATGTGTGACCTGACAAAAAGAAATGCTTTTCCCCACACAATAAAAATCCAGAGTGCCCAATTCTCTAAACAGTGCATGCTAATGCCAAACATTTACTTGTAGCCTATCTACCCAAAACACATTTAGGGAGGTGTAACATGATGTGCTGTTAACTTAACAATTTTAAGCCACCCACAGAATCGCAGGATTTAATATAAAAAAAAATAAAAATGGTGGATCTCTCTTTAAGAGTTGAGCGCCACATTTGACACATAAAAGAGTAAGTACTGTTGGAAAAAGACTTGTATTTAACCTGCCGTACATCTTTCTCTCTGGCTTTCCTACTGAAGTGCAAGAAGCTTCAATAAATCTTTAGAATCAGCGAGTGACAGAAATTGTAAGGGTGATGATAGAGATCCTTTTCATTACACAGAGAGTTTTGTCCTGAAACATAATGACTGATGAGCTTTCCTGAAAAATATTGTGTCCTCAACTCTACAGAGCCAAGATGAGGAAGACACTGTAAAGGTGGTAGTTGATGATAGAAATTCTCAAATATCTCTGGAAATGGGTTGTTAATTTTGAGATTTATTTCCATAAATTCAACTGTAGGAAAAATGCCCACGAAGACAGAGTAAAAAATTGCAATAGTAAATTGAGACCGTGAAATTCACTGACAGAATTAAGAATAGTTACTGATCACATGTAGAGCCATTCTGGAAACACACCTAAAAAGCCCAAGGCCTTCTTCACGTTATTCTCCCAGTGACTCACTAGAAAAGAGACAAACTGGCAGCTTAATTCTTGGTGTTGAGGTAGGAAAAAGAATGTAAATTATCAACTTTTAAATAAGAGCAGGGACATTAAAAGGCCATATATGTGCCCAAAATGAATAGAAGTGATGGAGACACAGATAGCTGGGTAGAATACTATACAGTTTTTAAAAATAAACAAGAAAGGATGCATTGGGAATTGAATTCCCAAGTTCATCAACTTCATGGCAGGACTGTCAACACTCCACATTTTACTGCTTTAATTGTGTTACCCCTGAGCACAAATACTGATACTGGCCCTTCAGCTAAGTGCAGACATCGCGACGATATGCCATTCCCGCATGTCCTTCGGGTTAAGGGGCTATTTCTCTTTTTCTACTGTCATGTCAAGGAGTTGTCACTGTGTGACTCATGGTGCGAATAAATACCTCCCTTTCTGGGGCTCTTTTCCTTTGGCCCTGGGTCACAGCTTCTAAGTTGTCTTTCCGCAATGACAGCTAAAAGGGACAGGGTGAGGGGTCGTCTGAAGCACTGCCACGGTGCCAAACCCCAAACGCTGATATAAATTTCTGTACAAGTCTTACATTTCAGCCACTCACTTGAGTTTCTTGAAGGCCTCCCTGCCACCAGCCACGTACTGCTCCCCACTCTGGAGCTCGTCCAGCTGTCGGACGCGATGCCCACCCCGCGGGGTGTAGATGTTTCGCACAGCTCCAAAGGGCGCCTGCACGCCGCCCGTCACCTCTTTCAGGAACACATCAAAGTTGGACACTTTCTTCTCGTGGATGACAATGCGGCGCCCCGGGAAGAACGGGTCCCCGTTGCGATAGACCAGCACGCTCTTCACGCTGGGCTGCGAGAGCCACGACGCCTTTGTGCCGGGACCGGCCATGCCGGCGGCTCCCTGCGCCGCGCACCTGCTGGCTCGGGAGAGCTCCCGCCGGAGCCCCTGGGGCACACGGGCACACGGGCACACCTCCCGGGGAGCGAGCCCTGCCCCGCCTGCCCGCTGCGGCTCCTCCCCGGCAACCAGCGCCGCGCTGGTTTGCGCCCACTCCGGCGGAAAAAGGCGGCGTGGCCCTGGGGCCGGCGCAGCAGGGACACGGAGCGCCGACCCGCGGCCCCGGGGCTCGCCCCCCGGCTCTGCCGCGAGGGAGCCCGGCCGCCCTGCCTGCCCCGGGCAGCTGCACCCGCGTGGGCTCGGTCCCCGCCGCGCAGCCAGGAGCCTGCCCGGCCCACAGCCGCCGCGGGAAGAGGGAGAGGGGCGGCGTGCCCCGAGGGGCACAGGGACCGGGATCCGAGCGAGGGAGACAGGGAAATCCCCGCTCTGCCCGCTCCTGCCCCCGCGCCGGCGGCGGGGCTGACCCGGCGGGGCAGCGCTCACGCCGCATTCTGGCACACCCTGGGGACAAGAAGCCGTAAAGCCTGAGAGAAAGTAAAACAGAACTGCCTTCGATTCAAATGTAATTCCTTTAACAACCTTTTTCTCTGCCGATAGCCTCAAGTCTAAAAACGCGCTAGACCTTCCTGCCTGAATTTGTGTAGTATACAGTAATGATTGTCTTTTCAAATGGGTTTTAACACGCTGGATGGAAAGAATTTTCTTTCCTTTTATTTTACCTCCTTTGATGGGAAAGTTACCCCCCTGCTGTGAGTTACAAAAGAGCAGTTAACCATTACAAAAGGAGCGATTTCAGGGTGAAGGCAGTCAAATATGCTACTGTTACTGGTTAACAACTAAAGTTTCCCACTTGTTGCTGGTCTTCTTTTAACTAATAACGGGGAGAACCGAGCATCTACCATCCTCGAATTAATACTATTTAACATTGAACTACTCTAACGTGAAAGGAAATTTTTGTTGTTAAAGATATGCTTTTGAGTAAAAACCAGAAATGTTGATGACCCTTATACTGCTCTGCATTCAAGTAATGATATGTCAGCTGTCTGCTATTTCATACCAGATTCTACCACATTTAGTGATATTAGATCACTTAGATCACCCATTTTGACACTTTTGATACTTCAAAATATTGTTGTTTTAACCTATGGCCACACTAATTGCAATCGCTTTATGGATTGCAAGAAAATATCCCTTAAATGTTATCAGAGCACTGCTAGCCTTAAAGCAGCCTAAAATTGGTGGACAAAATGTTTGTTTTCCATTTCATCTAAGTACAACCACTGACCAAAATTTAAGAAAAGGTTAGACACTTCAATCCATAATAGCAGTGCCTTGAACCATGACAGTTTGCTACTCCTAGCTTTTCCAACGTCTGACCTTTTATTGCCACTATTGTTTCACCTTGTAAGCAATCTCCTGTCACATTCTCAACAGCAAGGAGTCAAGCTGCTGAACCCACCGACATGATTAAGATAAATGCAGAGACACATAATCTCTTTCTGATGGAGCAACATCAGACCTCTCATGTTACATGAGGCTGGTGCAGGACATGAAGTCTGTCAGGTCGTGTCAGGCTCCCCTGAGGTCACATAAGGAGCATAACATACCATAATTCTGGGGGATGTGATGAGAGCAGAGCCATGGCATAGCATAGCATCAAACAGGCTCACTTTTTCTGCACCAGAATGCCGTGAGGCCTCTGCTATTTCAAGAAAGTTTTTGCAGCTTGTTGCAGGGTCTTACCAGCTATAGCAAAACATGAAGTGATGGAGACAGAAATGTCCTAGTGCTGAAGAAAAGACCAACAAAATGGACAGAATGGAAAAGGATGAAGTTTCTAAACACAGAATGAAATTCAGCTTATTCTATTGCACACAGTGCTGAGGATCACAGTTAATAACTCTGTGCAGCTTATCAGAAAATCAGACTAAGCAATAGCAACTACTTTATTCCAAGCTGTAAGTCTGGAGTAACCAGACTGTCTGCACTGGCAGTTTAAAGCACATAAATATCAAGTGGTTCAGCTCACATGCACACACTAGTACAAGTAATATACCGATGCAGTTGTAAATTTTAAAGCCCATGTTATAGCAAATTCATCTACTTGTTCAATTGCCTGATTGAAAACTCCTTAGAATACCATGATGAAGTATTTTTGCTTTAAAAAATACCTTAGACAATCACAGTTTAAGCCACAGCTTTTGACTACACAGGTTCTGTCCAACAGTCTTCTTGAGGCAGCCAAGATGCTGAAGGATTACATAGGGAAAAGGCTTTAGTAAACCCTTAGAGGCAGAAAAGGAAATGGTTCTCTGTGGAAAAACAAATTCTGGTGGGTTACCTTAAGTAAGGAAAAGGTTGAAAGATATCTTCCATGTGGTCTTGGTATAGAGTAATGAGAATTAAATCATCCTTCTGAAACAAAGATTTCTCAGTGTGTTGCTGTAGCTACCTTTGATCAAGGGACCCGAGATTATCAATTGGGTATTCCTGATTAATTAATATAAGAGCAATTACTGTAAAGATGAGTGGGTTTTTTTGGTAATTTTTCTATGGGGTCTTTTCTATCTCTCTCTCTTTTTGTGTAGCACTCATCATCCACTAAACACTTATGTACTGCCTGGTAGCAACTGTGGGGTTTTATGTTAATCTGGCTTTTTGTTTGTTGTTTGTTGCTCTGGTTTTTATCTTTTTCTCAATGTGAATAAAATTGCATATTTTAGGAGAAGAAACAGGTCATAGGTACAGCTACAGATTTGTAAAAAAAAAAAGATTGATCAAATGAACAAGTTATACACTGAATATCTCAGACCAACCAAGATGCCTTTTTACCATAATTTTACCAAAAGGTTCTCTGAACTTTTCTTCAGCAGAGATTTATAAGGAGCCCTCTGATGATATCTATGTTTTGCTTCTCTTTCTGTGTGTTTTTCCTTGGTGTTTCTGTTCCTTCTTTGCACAAAGCCCAGCTGCAATCAGAGCAGTCCCCTGTCTGCACTGACATTCAGCTGGCAGTGCAACTAGTTGTTCGTGTCATTCAACCTCACAAATAGCTCTGGTTTGGATGGCAGTTTCATGACTAAGCAAGCCTGTGCTGGAGCTATCCTTTCTTTTTGGCTGAATGAAGAACAGCCATCATGCCTGTCCTTGTCAGTGAGCCTTTTCAACAAACAGCAGATGAGCTTGGTCCACTATTTCTTTGATAAAATTCAGCAAACCGCTCCCAAAGGTCGGCGCCGCAGGGTGGATACCTGACAGTGAAATCAACAAGCAGCTCATTGGCATTTGGAGCTACAATAAACAGATGCCAGTTCTCAGTCTCCGGTTATCTTTTGCCAGCAGCAGTGTAAAGTCAGACATTGTGTGTGCTTTATGACTTGACCCTGGCTGCCAGTGCACACCCACGTGCTGCCTTCACCTCTGAAGACAGAGGTGACATTTCATTATTTTCTGCCCTTCCAGACAGTCGCGGTGGTGGCTGATAATGCCAGTGCTTTACCAATACTTCGGCCTGTGGTATCGTACATAGCAGAGTTTGTATCAGGACAGATTCAACTTAATGAGAAGTTACATCATCTTATTTCCAACACTTCTGTTGTCGTAGCAGCCAGAAAAAGAGATGAGCAAAACAAATAGATCAACCCAGCAGCTTTTCCCGTTTTATTGAAGAGTGTGAAATGTCAGCTGTGTAAGACTTACTGCACGTTCATCAAATGTAAATTTCTGGCAGGTATCCTTTAGATGCTTCCCTAGCTTTTGCATTCCAACATGCAGAGCCAACATACACTGCCATTAATTTCCAGTGAAAGTCTGCACCGGTTTCTTGCCCTCCTGAGGTATTTTCTGTGCTGTCTGGTATTTACAAATATTAAGTATCTCTGACATCCAAGAGATTAAATTAGTGTTGCACATACTGCCACCTGCTGAGATTAGCCAAAACTAGAGCTAAAATACTCAATTTAGAGTAGATTTCAGCTTTTTCAAGTATGAATAGGGATAGCATTTGCAGCCAGGTGGTTACCCTTTAACTGAAAGCCTCTAATGGCTTCAGTCTATATATACATGCTGTCCATAACTACTGAGGAACTTTTTCATTGAATTGCTTCCTTGTGAGGTCATTCACCTTTATGCAAGATGTGTGTAAACCATCCTGATTCGGTGCATGTCAATCCCCTTGGAACAAAGGCTCATCTATGTACACACAAACATACAAATGCACAGGTCATCTGCTGCAGGAAAGAAAATTAGTTGTTATAAATATAGTGTTGTTAAAAATATTCTGGTAATATAATTGATTTAATAATATAAAATAGTTAGTTATGAATACAAGTAGAAAATGGCAAAGTATAAGGTATAGCAATGTTAGGAGTACTGTGTTTAAAATATGCAACCATAGAAGCTTTGCCAAGGAGTTACTGGATTTCTTATGTTTTGTTCAAGAAACTATGGAGACCATCATGCACACCAGTTACACTGCTCAGAAACCTCCTGCACTTCCCATCTTGTTTTGAATGTCAAGGAATTCCATTCAGTAGAGCTCAGCAGAGATGATCAATGATTGTCTGAGAGTAGGAATAGTAATGTAGTTATATAAGTAGCAAAACCAATTATTGTAAAGGTTAAATTTAAGAGTGGACATATTATGCATAGTACATAAAACAACTTATATAATTATGATTTGGCAGAAAAAGTATATAAAATGGATTAATTTTGCTTATTAAGGGGAACACGTCTGGAGGAGTAATCGCATGTGTTCCCAGCACCAAAAGCAAGGAAGTGTCTTATTACTCACATCAAATTGCTGTTGGGTAAGTTTCTTTTGTCCTGTTTGGTGACACCCTTGTTTTCAAAACTCAGACCGGTGTTTAAATTTGTGCCTTCCTCTTGGAGCAGCCATGCTACATGGATCATTTCATTAATCACTTCCTTTTTTACTTCCCCGCTGAGCATTAATGAGTACTCTAAGTACATTCTGATAACGTGTCCACTGCAGGATTTGGATGCAGGCTTTGCCTCCAGGCTGATTTACACACTTCAGCAGGACTAGCGAAATGACTCCTACTACCTGCATTGTACTTTTGCACGAAAGCTGCAGTTTCCAAAGAATATACAACAGTGGAAGCTGGTATGCTGCTAATGAAAGTTCTACATGTCAACCACCCAGGCTGTCTCTATCTTAGATACAGAAGCAGGGCAAGGAAATTTAATTCCAAGACATTTGCTGGGACCACAATTGTACTTCACTTGGAAAAAAAAAAAAAAAAACCAACCCGTATTTTAGAAGATCATCAGTGAAGTGATACACAGAATAAATAAATAGACTCCACAACCTGGGGTAGTTATGAAGTGGGTATGTATTGTCAGCGCCCAACACAAGTGAGATCACTCTCCAAAAACTTGTGCAGTGAACTTTAGTCTGACCCACACCTTTATTCCCAAAGGTGTTCCACATGCAGTACATTACACAACTTTGCCATGCATATTCAACCCCTGGCCCCGCCTGTCCTTGCCTCTCATGCTAAATAGGTCCACGCCCTTCTGGGCACATGCAGTTTGCTATGGTGGTCCTATGGGGGTCTCTGGTGGTCTCTTGAAGCTGAAGATCACGGTCTTCTTCATGGTTGAACTTTTCAACTTTTCTCCTTTGCGTGTGTGCTTTTGGTTCTGTGGTGCTTATCTGAGCCCATCAGTCTTAATAAGATTGGAGACAGAGGGGCTTGTTTATCTGGGTTCTTTCATTCCTTGCTTTTGTTCTTTATGTAAGAAGCTTCAGAAATTTGCATTTTCTTATGCCCTTTTGTACCTTGGCGGATGTTTCTTAAGTAAAAGTTTAAAATTCAACACATAATTTTACAAGCTAAAATATAAGTGCTTAATTCATTTTGTTAACTTAAGTGAATTCTAAAAATCACTGTTTCATCAGGAAGGGGCCGAATGCGGCAGGGAAAATCCCAGCCACAGTAAGGTACGCTCACGTTATGAGCACTGCTGGAGCTGGGATTTTAAGAACACATCTTTGGGAGAAGTTATCCATTTAATTGGATTTTAAATTTTGACTTACCTCATTATAGGAGCTCAGGTGAGCTTTATGGGATTCTTGGGGTTTTCTTTCCCCATTCTCACAAATCAACCTGTACAAAATCCAGTTAATTGGTGGGATTGAACACATGCTGAGTGAGGTGGTGAGAAGGACCACGGCACTGTGCATACACAAAACAATGGCTATGAACTTCCAGACCGCCACTGAATTATCTCAGAGCATTTACAAATAGAGAAGCGGATTGGCAGGACCCGCCACTCTGCAGCCAGTGAGCTCCTGATTTATTAAAAAATTATGGATATTGATCTAGTACCAATATCCAACTGTGATGGACAAAAACTCTCTAACAGTTTAAAGTTAGAAAGTATATGTTTATTGTGATGCCGGGCTTTGTGCGGGATAACTCCCAAATACACACTGCACCTTCCAAGTGATTACAGAGCCCTTTTATCCATAAAAGTATTGAATACCCAAAATACAAATACATATTCATAATTTTGGTACATCCCATTCCCCGCTTCATATGCTAATCACTCCAAAAGCTATTAAGCATGCACAGTTTGTTCCTTGAAATGGGTTGGTGGTCCCTTTCATGGGGAGGGGTCCCAAAATGAGGAAGTAAATGAAGTCTTCCTCATTCTGACCTTTTTACCTTTTCAGTGCAAATGAACTCTTGGTAGAACTCCCATTCCTTGTCTTCAATTGGTTTCAGAACAGAGGAGGCCCACAATTGTCTTATGTTCCTAAAAGCTATTTGTCAGTTTCTATATTCTTCATTATAAACCCAGCTAACTAAACATTGTGCTGACAAGCAATCAATTATTAGTTAACTACTAACTCTTTAACTTCATCAAAGCCTACTCCTTTATTTTAATTAACTCTAGTAAGGCTTATCTCTAACTAAAACCTTAGCTCCTCTAAAACCTCTAAATTCCTTAAAATGTACGTTTCGCTCCCAGCCCGCCCGCACGCCGCTGCGGCCCCGTCATCCCGCCCGGGCTCCTCCTCCCCGATCTCCTCCCGGGCTCCTCCTCCCCGGTCTCCTCCCGAGCTCCTCCTCCCCGGTCTCTTCCCGGGCTCCTCCTCCCCGGTCTCCGCCCGGGCTCCTCCTCCCCGATCTCTTCCAGGGCTCCTCCTCCCCGGTCTCCTCCCGAGCTCCTCCTCCCCGGTCTCCTCCCGGGCTCCTCCTCGGCTCCTCCTCCCCGGGCTCCGCCCGGGCTCCTCCTCCCCGGTCTCCTCCCGGGCTCCTCCTCCCCGGTCTCTTCCAGGGCTCCTCCTCCCCGGTCTCCTCCCGGGCTCCTCCTCCCCGATCTCCGCCCGGGCTCCTCCTCCCCGGTCTCCTCCCGAGCTCCTCCTCCCCGGTCTCTCTCCTCCCGGGCTCCTCCTCCCCGATCTCTTCCAGGGCTCCTCCTCCCCGGTCTCCTCCCGGGCTCCTCCTCCCCGCCGCCTCGGAGGGCCGGGCGCGGTGCGGGCCGGGGGCCGAGCGGGGCCGATGCTGCGGGGTGCCGCGCTGCTGCGCCGCGCCCTGGGCGGCGGCGGGTGCCGCCGCTGCAGCGCGGCCCGCGGCCGGGCGGGCGCGGCGGGCGGCGGCTCCGGCCCGCGGGCCGCCCCGGGGCTGCCGCCGGGCCGCGCCTGGCGCCGGCCCGCGGCCGTGGCGGTGCCGCCGGGAGCCCGCGGGCTGCGCTGGGCCGGTGAGCGCCGGGGACAGCCGGGGACAGCCGGGCGGGGGAAGCTGCGCTGGGAGCGGCCGGGCCGGGCCGGGCGGAGCGGGTCCGGGTCCGGGTTCGGGTTCGTCGGGGCCTTGTGAGCAGCGCTTCCTGTGCCGCAGCCCGAGAGCGGAGCGCCGCGCAGCTCCCAAGGGCGCTGTGCCGGGAGTAGAGCTGTGTGTTCTCCCCGCAGGGAGATTTTACCAGCATGCCCCCACTGAGACCTCCCAAGCCACCCTCGCCAGCGTGTCTCCTGTTTTTGCAGTGGTAAGTACCTGCAGGCATTTCCACCAGCGAGGGCAGCCGGTGCGAGATGATGGTTGCTTTCCCCCTCTTTGTTTGGTTCCCTTTTGGTTGTTTTTTAATCTTAAGGCGTCAGAAGAACAGATGAATTTGTGTCTGGGACAACATCCCTAAGTGCTAAATTGTTGCTTCGAGCTACTCTGATTTGAGGCCCGGTTAGAGTACATAGTGTTGATGAAAATGCTTTTCTAAGGCCCGGCATCTCTGGGAAGTTCTCTGGCTTCTCTTGGGAGAGTTCTTTCAACTCTTGGAAGTGCTGTAGTCAGACGTTTCTTTTTAAATTTTTCAAGGCTTGCTAATGCCTTTTAGAAATATTAGTCTTGTGTCTTGATAGCTGCAATTCTAAGCAAACATAGAATCTGGTGAAAAACAAGCTCACTCTATGCTGTCTTTTTAAAGGATGCTGAAGGTTGTTTGCAGGCTGCTTGGTTTACACATATGCTTAAAAAAAAAAAAATATATATATATATATATAGTGAAAAATCACATTATTAGTGCCAGTGAAGGAAGATGTGGTATCCTTGTTGATAATGAAAAGCAGTCATTCTGCTTTTCAACAAAGTGCCACATAAACTCCACTGCAGCTCTACTGGAATGGATGCTTAGGTAGGCTTAATTCACTGAAAGTCAGTTTAAAAGTAATTTTAAAAGTCAGTAACGCTGGGTTAAGCCACACTGTTTATGAGGAAAAACAATAAACTTCATTATTAATCCCGACATGGCAGTCATTCCAAGAAAGTTATTTTACTAGGAAATACAAGAGTTAAGTGAATAATATGAATAACAGATACTAAGGCAAGAAGTATTTAGTTGCAGGCTGCAAGCTAAATAGTGTGTCTTTGCAGTACTTGATGTGGGCACAAAGGCTAACCATACAATTGGTGGTACTCCTTGCTTTTAAAGTTTTATTTGTAAATTTTTCAGAGTGTTACAGAGCAAATAGCTGAATTTTCGATCCCAGATGTAAGATGCCTTGCTGGTCTCCTCTCCATGAGATCCAGTCATAGGATGCATGGGAATAGCTCTAAGCTGTGCCAGGGGAGGTTTAGACTGGACATTAGGAATCAATACTTTACCAAGAAAGTGGTCAGACTCTGGAACAGGCTTCCTGGAGAGGTGGACAATATCCCAAGCCTGTCAGAATTTGAGGCATTTCGACAGCATTCTTAATATGAGGCTTTAACTTCTGGTTAGCCCTGAACTGGACTCTGATCATTGTAGCTCTCTTCAAACAGAAATAATCTGTTCTGATTCTCTATAGATCACCTTAACAAGGCTTGTGCAGAAACATGGTCACGCAGATGACACTGGTCACAAACACAGCGAAATGTGGCCTTTTCATGTAATTATTTTGCTTAATTGTGAATAGAGAGTGTAAAAGTTGTTTTCTCTTCATAATGTGTTTTCCATTTGGCTTGTAGGGAAGTGCAAATAATTTTAGGAATTGATTTCTTGTTTTATAGTGGTTCTGAGAAAAAAATATTTTTTTTCCCATTCCTCCAGATGAAGTTTGACAAAGAGGGAAATACTACCTATTTTGGTAAGTTTTTACTGTAGTTTTGTTTGGGTTTGTTTGAGCTTTTTCCTTGTCCAGTACAGAAAAACCCAATTGAAATCTACTTGGTTAAAAAAATTATGTTTTGGACACTTCACTGTGTTTGAGGTGTTGTGGCAATGCTTCTCTTTTGCAACCTTCCATTGGGCCTTCATAGCATCTCTGCTGTTACAGCTTTTGTACACTAAGTAATATTTTGAAAATAATATATTGCCATTTCTCACAGGAAGGTAATTTTTGCTTTGCTTTTTTTTTTTCTGACCACCATGCTACTTTTGCTGCCTTGTCTTTCCGTGTAGGATTACATGTGCTTTCTCAAAGGAGTCACTTGTTTCTGATGTGAAATTAATTGTCGTCAACTTTTTCACTTATATCTAGAACTTTTCTATTCAAGATACAGTCTTAAATTTTTTGGAAAATAACTTAGATCGAGGAGTCAATAGGAGGAAAACCTTTACTAATAGCTGGGCTGTTTTGTTGTGGGACTTGGTAACACACTAGGATGTAATTTGGAACATACCTGCTTGTCCTCTAAATGTCTTAATCTAAAAATATTTTCATGATAGAAAAGAAGAAAACAGAATTGTACCAGGAGCTGGGTCTTCAAGCTCGAGATCTGAGATTCCAACATGTGATGAGCATTGCAACCAGGAACAACAGGATCATTATGAGAATGGAGGTGATGGTTTCCCTATAGCTGAGTAAACCCTGTTTCATCCTTGCCTTCTGATTTTCTTGCACAGCAAGAAAACAGCAGCTTTCTGTGATATGCAGTCCAGCAGTAAATGTTTATTTGGAGCTCTGCCTAGCAATCAGAGTGTGAGTTCACCAACTGTATGTATTAGTGACCTTTTTCCTTGTTGAGCAGGAATTTTTCCTTGAGAAATATTACTAACATCGTCAGAGAAGTAAAGGCTGGTGCGGAGCCTCTTCTCAATCCCTGTCTCAGTTGGCACAGTGTTGTATCTGAGCCGCTTTACAGTTAGCATGAAATGTTGTTATTATCTGCCTGAAATGACATTTGAAGATTGGTTTTATCAAAGCCCAAATCATCAAATGTGCTACAGTGTTACGAGAAATCTTCAGGAAGTTTTTTTCAGACTCCTTACATGTACTATCTTTTTCAGTTCTTGAAGGCTGTCATAACACCAGAGTTTCTTCTGATACTAGATTATCGTAATTTAAGTCTGGAACACTGGCTCCTCAATGAACTAGCATCTCAGCTGGCTGGGGAAGGTCAACTAGTCACATATTCCCTGCCCTTTGAATTCCGAGCCATAGAAGCAATTCTGCAGTACTGGGTGAGTTATATTTTTTTTTGTTTGTTTGTTTGTTTGTTTGATTGTTTGGGAAGTTCTTGCTACACAGAAAGGGCAGTATGATTTTAGTCTTGTGTTAACATTTACACGTACATAATTTTAAATGTATTCTGCACTTTTCTGTTTTTTTGTTTTGACCCCTTAGTTCTTACGGTTTTGTGTGTATGTGTGTTTTCATCCCCTTTCAACAAAGTGCTGTTTGGATATAATGGCTTCAGTACCATTTAGATAATTGGAAAACAAGTCAGAATTCCTTTTTAGAGACATGTTGTAGCTGGATTGAAGATCACACAAAAGTGCTGAGGTTTTGGCCTCTTGAGCAGGAGTCGGATGAGATTTCTAGCTATCATTAGAAATCTGTGCTTGCTAATTCTAATGTGACAATTACAGATAATAGTGGTTTACCTTTATCAGCCTTATTGGTGTGGTTGTCACTGGGTTTCACTTCACTTTTTATAAAATACAGTATTGTTCACTGGCTTTGTGTTTATGGGGTATCCATATAGCAAGTGTTTCCCAGGCATTGGAAAGCAGGTTGTATTAAATACCTAATACTGTGAATTCTGTGTTGAGAGACAGGAGTCAGTTGCCCAAATCATTCTAAATGAATTATTTTAATTCTTATGAAGGATCATCTTGTTATCTAGATCAGCAAACTGCAGGGAAGACTTAACACTTTGCAGCCTCAGATCCTTGAGACGCTGGAAGCGCTAGTGGACCCCAAGCTTTTATCTGTGGATAGGAGTAAACTACACATTCTTCTGCAAAATGGCAAGAGGTAACTAAGAATAAGCTGTGAAAACACAGGGAAGATGACATAGAAAATTGCATGCATTAAAGTGTTAGAAAAATGGTATCTGATATTAATTTCTTAATTACCTTAATGCTGGGTAGTGCATCTTATTTGGAAATGTAAAAGTCAGTATATGAATTACCGAGTGATAAGGGACAAAAAGGAAAGAAATTCTGAATGGCCAGAAATACTGTTCATGCTTCTTAAATAGCATATGACAAAACAAAATAATACCTAAGAGAATGAAACAGTGTGAAAATATTCCCTTTAATGTAAACCTGTGTAAATCTATGTACATCTGTGCTTTGAGGTTACCATACAGTGCTACCTTCATGTATTGGCCTCTCTCATATGACAGCGTGTGCTTGCTACGTGCTCAGAGAGTGCTTGTTTTTTTTTTTTTTTTTGCTTACAAATACATCCAGAAACACATGTGGATGCCTTTTAGTGTGTGTCTGTACCTCGCTGGTCCCCAGGCAGATCACTGCCATAGCTAAGTGTGTGGCTTGTAGAGCACGTTTTGAAGGAGCTCTTGCAACCCTGCAAGGAAGGCTTTCCTGGCCATTCTGTCTGGCGAGGGTGCTGGCTGGCAAACTCATGTAGAGGTTACCTTTGGGCACTGGTGCCACTTCACCTTTAGCCTGTTCTTCTTTCAGCTTGTCAGAACTGGAAACAGATGTTAAAGTTTTCAAAGAAACGATTCTGGAGATCTTGGATGAAGAAGAAGTAATAGAAGAACTCTGTCTGTCTAAATGGACTGATCCACAAGTATTGTATGTACAGTTTGAAACCACATACAATTTTTTAACATTTTGATTTAGTGTATTTTGTTTGAGGAGAACTTGAACACTAAACTGGATGTTTACTGCTAAAAACCAGAAAGAAAAATTGTTTCTAATTTTTTTTAATCCTAATGCTTACTACTTCAGAAACCATTGTAGTTGCCATTTTGGAGAGGAACTCCATTGTTACACAGTTACAAATAGTTCTTGACATTACAGGCCAGCTCATCTAGTATGTAATGGGATGGGAACAGGATGACAGAAAAAGCAAATGTTATTTTTCAATATAAATTAACATATTATGGGAGCATTTTCTTCAGTTTCACCAAAATATGGCAGGTTTTAAAGCTTGTTTTGAATAGGTCAGACTCTACACTTCCTTTCCTAGAAGTGTTCTGAATACCTTGGTGAGCTTTTTGCTCACCAGCAGAGCCTGAAGGTGAGACACCTTGGAGCAATCTTGGGCACCTGAAGAACAGCATTCCAGGAGATGTATGTGCAGAAACAATCCTATTGCACTTTGGAGTTCTGGTGAAGGACAGCACACAGCAACAGAAGCACTGGTCATTTTAATAAAAATAGAAAGATGATGTATACAATTTCCAAATATGTTTTGGGCTGAATTGTATTTAAATCTTAGGCATAGAGATGTGTTTTATATATAAGCAGATAACAGAAGTTATCTTCTAGGGTACTTTTTGAAGTTGATGAATGATACTTTTGCCTAACTGCATTGCATGTACATATTAATCCTGTTCACACAGTGTGGGGGTTTGAAGTCTTGCCCTGCAGAGATTAATCTAAATGTGCAGCAGAAATGCAGTGTTCCAGAAGTGGGACACGGTTTGCATTTCTAAGACATCTTCTGGAACAGTATTAGAGGTAACTCTAAATTCTAGCTGTTCCTGAGTCAGCAGGTGGTCTTTTTCCTGGTTTTGCTCACAACCTTCCTTTAGATTTAATACAGTCTGCTGGCAAAGCCTTTGCTCACAGTATACCATGTGTAGGGGATCTAGGAAAGATCCCAATGGCACCTTATGCCTGTGTCAAGAAAAACCCACAGGCATCCCTTCTTTCAGACACCATTGCCCAAAGGTAGGAGAGGTAGTAGGAGATTGTGTGAAGAGCTGCAGGACGCACACCAGGAAACACAAGCCATGACAACACATTTGGAGGCACATTGGCCATGTGTGAACAGCTCTTTTTTGATCCAGGATTGATACAAGTGCTAGGTGGTATTTGAGGAACTTGGGAAGCCTGAAAGGATATGGAGGAGCCCAGTTTGGCAGATAGGTGCTGTCAGAGATCTTTTGCAACAGAATGGCGAGCTTAGCTCAGAGAGATGAGGCAGACCTCTTAACTCTGTGTGAAGGAGCGTGAGGATGTGGAGGAGTCATGAGACAGATGGAGGCTAGTTAATGAAAGCACATCCAATGGCAGTTACTCTCATGTCTTTATGGTTGTCTTTATTTTGTATATCCCTAGAGGAGCTGATATAAATAAGATGTTCATCAAGTATGACCTTGAGCTGAATTTGTAATACTGCAGATAGTGCTCTAAGACTTTCAAGTCTGCAGCTTCTCTCATCTCCATGCAGTGAAAACCTAAAGGTCTAGAGGACTTTCATCAGTTTCTGCCAGAAACAGAGAAACTCATGTAAGGGAGCTTACATGAGTTGATTTGTAAGACATAGCACTTATTTTCATGGAAAACCATTACAGAGATGTTCCTTTAGCAGTCAATAATGCCAGGAGGAGATTAATTAAAAACTCAAGACTCTCTAGAGTAATGAGATCATATCACAAAACAAAAAAATATGAACAATCTTCCTGGCTTTGCTGATTAGTTTCTAAGCTCTTGTGGACCTCAGCTGCCTCAGTTTAATCTATGCAATGCCAGAAACTTGTATTGCAGAGGAAGGCTGCTGCTCTAGCAGTAGCACTGTGAAGTAAGATTAAAGTCTTTCAGACTTCACTTAAGAGAGGAGCATCTTTCATTAAGGTGGTCACTCTTCAGCTGCTTTGGGATTGAAGAATGTTTTTCAGCAATTGCTGTGTATTTCTCAAATGCCTTACTAGTAAACCATTTTAATATTACATAAACCATCTCCATCACTGTGTAATCGTTTGTGTATTGACTTTTGGTTGTTTTCTTGTTGGGAGTTTTTGAGTGCACTGTTACCAGCTCTCACCACTTGAGGGCACCAAAAAGTTAATCTCAAAATAGTTAGCATTCTATAATAATCTGATAATATATAATATTTTTATAACTTTTTAACTTCATAATAATATCTGAAATAATTAGAATTTGTGGTGGTGTGCATACTTTGACCACATCAAATGTTAACTTCTCTACTTAAAATAATTGACTGCCTCTGCTGAGCTGCTGATAAATATAAAAGTATTTATTTTATTTTATGCTGTTGGAACTGATGGACATTCCTTACCAGAAGGTTGGATTTTGTACTGTAGTGTCTAACAGCATTCTAGTTCCCCACAACTCTTATGTGCCTTAACACATTAGTAATACACTTCTATACAATATGTATATATATATACATATATGTATATATAACCAGGAAAATACAAATTTTTGCTCACAGTGAGGAGAGTACATCTGGAATTGACCATGCAGAGGAAATGGAGCTGCTGTTGGAGAATTATTACAGACAAGCAGAAGATCTTTTAAATGAAGCTCGTGAACTCAGAGTACTAATTGACGACTCAGAAAGCATCATCTTTATCAACCTGGACAGGTTAGCTACCATCTGTTAGATTACCAAAATCTGAAATTTAGGCTTTCTTGGCCTAGACTTTCTCAAATATTACTACAAGGAAAGTTGGAGAATTCTGACTTAGTGAGGGTTGAATGGACTTGTAGTCACAGCAGCTGTATTACACTTTTCTAGTCATGAACTGAATAAAGCAAAGCAAGAAGATAGCCTAATTAGTGTGTGTAATTCGCATGTACCACTGTAGCTAGGCACCAGTCTTCCCTAGCAGTGAAACCCAGGTTCTCCTAGACCCTTCAAGGGAGCTGTCCAATACAGGAAATGTCTGCAAATTGAGAGGCATATTAAAATTCTGTTCAGAAAAGATTACTAGCCAGAGTTTGGCGAGGCTACTCAGGTTTCCAGTACAAGTTAAATTATTACTCTGTAGAGTGATACAAAAGTTAATAACTTGAGAGCAAGTTTTCTCTTTCTCTCTGTATGCTACATTTTCTCTTTTAGTCAGATTTCTTACAAAAAGAGTTGTAGCTTGCATTTGCAAGAACATGGCACTCTGAGGTCAATGTTTAGTATTCTTTCTCCTCTAAACTGAGGAGTTATCTGTAGAAGCACTTTGTGGATGATATATCAGGAAACCACAAAATCTTTTTGTGGAAGACTTGAATATGGAATTCACCCAAAAGGACTGAAGTTTGTAGCCTGCAGCATTTAGCAATTCCATTTTTTTTTTTTTTTAATGTATTAATTTGCAAGGTAACAAAAATTTTTTGTCCGTTATGAATAAAGACCTAGAAATTGCAGCCAGTTGGTGGTGAGAGGTTACAAATTTCAGTAGAAACTTACTGTTACTCTGTATATGCACCTCTAGAAGTGAGCAATATTGGAAAGCCTGATGATGGTTAAGGAGAGAACCTGCTGCCTTTTAGAGGTGTCCAGATGTAGCAATGTCAAAACAAGAGTTTCTTTGTACTTTGTTTCATGATCTTTGCCACTGAGTTACATAATTTCAGCATGACTTCCTCTCTTTCACTATTTGTTTTTAGTGCATTTTACATGGAATTTAAGAATTTAGGCAGCAAATAAATTTTTGGGTTCCCCTTACAGATGTTTCTCCCCTCTTTAGCCACCGTAATGTGATGATGAGGCTGAACTTGCAGCTGACCATGGGGACTTTCTCTGTCTCTCTCTTTGGACTCATAGGAGTTGCATTTGGTATGAACTTGGAGTCATCCCTTGAAGAGGTAAGGAACACGTCCTGCATTTATGATAAAATGTGGCCCCTGCTCTTACAGTTTATTTCATATTTGGTACAACTTCTTTCTTTCCATGGAGAGTACTCCAGTGATTCTTGTGTTGATACAGTCACTTCTTTTGTAAGCAAATTACTGCATGTATTGTATTGTAGCCTTTTTTCTGTGCCATGTCCATGGAAAAGAAATGGGAAGGCAAGTTTTCAGTTGTATAAGTAGATGATTATAAAGTAGCATTAAATGATCATTCTGACAACAATAGCTTTATCTTCTAGATACAAGGGTCTCTGTCAAGCAGCCAAGACATTTCCAGCACATCAGAGGAAGTACTCTACTGTCAGTAATTGTTTATACCTAAACTGGGAAGGAAGGGATACAGGTTGGGGCAGTGCAACTTTAAAACTGCACATGCCACCTTTAAAACAAACAAACAAAGCAAAGACTACTTCTTTTCAAATCAGTTAAATATAAGGGTTGAATTTTCAAACTTCCCCGTGAAGGAAGGAAAACTACGTGTAACAGTAACAGATTGCAGTACAGTTATCCTAAATAAAATGTTTTGCTGTGAAACAGCCCTTTTCTCAAGGGAGGGCTTGGCTGTTGATAGTGAAGAGTTTGCTGCTTCTTCTCATAAAGGAAGAAAACACTGGTGGGGAGTGAGAGCTTATCTTTGGGTTGTCTCTTTCCTGGAGAGATAATTGGATGACTAATGGGAGTATTCTGTCAGTAGGACCCCAGGATATTTTGGTTGGTGACAGGGATTATGTTCCTGGGAAGTGGTCTGATCTGGCGGCGCTTACTTTCCTTCCTTGGGCGGCACCTGGATCCTCCGCTACCTCCTCACGTACGTATGGCTGGCTGAGACTCCTGCCTCACACTCTGCATGTACAGTCCATTCCTAAGGCAGAAAATAGAGGGGCAGGCCACAAAGCATGGCAAAATGCAGCTCAGAGTATGCTTCATGACAGAGAAGGTGCTCCCTAGCTGGACTGAAGGAGGTGGGGAGCCCCAGCACTGGGCAGAAGTGAAGCTGCTGGCAGGCTGTTCCATGGGAAGTGCTGTATTTACTTTCACCTGGAAGCCCAAGGAGAGCTTCGGCTAATGGTAGAAGTAGTCTTCATCCTCCTACCCACAACTTTGGATCCACAGTACCTGACTTGTAAAAGAGCAGAGCTAAAAGGATGATGAGTATGAGCACTAGCTATAACATCTCTCTGGAGAATGATGCCATGGTTGCAATGTCCTGACTCTCAGTCTGAAGTTTGTAATAGTTTCTCATATGCGTACCAGTTATCTTTGTCATTGATGGTACTGAACTGTAGGAAGATTTCCAGAGACCCTGTTCAGATTAGCATGTCATTTTCCCTATTGACTACACTTTCCAGGATTTGTGGAACTGTGTTGTCTACCTCATCTCTGCGCTGTAGTATTTCTAGCAGACGTATCAGTAAGTCAAAAGTTAAGTTGCTACAAGTGACAAGGGGAGGCTCAGATAAACTCCCGTTCCTCCCTCTCCTCTTTTGCTACTAAGAATCAGCTGGCAGTAGTGTGGATTGTTGACTATGGCTACAATTTACTAGAGTATCCTGAAGTTTAGTTCAGAAGGAAGTCCAGCACATACTGACTTGGAGAAAGATACTGGGAATTATTAGAGACGGAGAAGCCAAAGACACTGTTCTGAAAATAAGGGGAGCAAAATCAGCATTCATGCTTCTGTGGAGCCTTACTTCCTTCTGCCACATGTAGAGCAGCTTCTCATGTAATCAGGCTATTTTGTTTCTTGCCTAGGTTCCTGCCGTTTTGAAAAAATCCCAACCAGCAGCTGGAAGAGTTGAGATAAAGAGCAACCTTAAAGGAGAAACGTTTGGGCTGAGCAGAAGCACATTAACAAACCAATAGGAACAGCAGGAATTAAAGAGACTTTAGTTGTTACAGGGTGGACTTTGGACACTTTCCTTGTATTCTTCCTTACTGAAAACTGCAAGAATTTCTAAACTTGCTAATTTAATATATATTTTGTGCCAAAAACCTACAATGAAATTTTTAATGTTCACGCATATAAGGAGAGAAACATGAGGGCAAATAGCAAAATACTTTCTATAGTAGTTTCACCTCCACCCCATGTGTGTGCCTTTAGTTTTCTGTATCACATACATGTACTTACTTTTTGGGCATTCTCATTTTTAGTGATTCTGTCAAATACTGCTTTGCTTAATGGCCTTTCTAACAGAGAACAGAATTTTAGGATTAAAGAAGGAAACAGTCAGGATTGATCAATAATTCTGGTTCTGAACTGCAGATGTAGGAATCTGGCTTAAAAAAAAAAATCCAAGAATGACTTCTTGAATGGATATTTAAGGCCCTATTTAATTGCAGAGAAGAGGTTTTCCAAAGCAAAGAAGCGTACCTGCATCTCTCGTGAACCATGACTTCTATATTGGCAGCAATGAGAGAAAAGGAGCAATAAAAGGCTTTGAAATGTAGCTGCTGATCTTGTATAGTTCTTAACAATTAGTTTAGGGCCCAAACAGCAATTCTAGGAACAGGGCAAACGGGCCTATGGATAGTTCCCACTTGCATTTTCCATCTGACTCTTTCAAGACACATTCATAAAGCTGCAGTTTAACACCTCTTTGTATTGCCAAATTCAAATTCTGGTAAAAATCATCATGTGAGTTGTTAGTTTTTCTAAAGGTGGGCTCTGCTTTCTCCCTTCCCTCCAAGACAAAGCATGGACTAGCCTGCACCACAGTAACTAACTTGGTTAGTTAAAGGTGTGGAAGTGTCATGTCCTGTGCTAGGCTGAAGGAAGGAGTAAAAGCCTTATGGCAACTATTTCTGTTTGTTCTTAGGGTTTCTCTTTAGTTCTCCACTGGTTTCTCTCAGGTTGTAGAGGGAGCATGAAATGTATCTAAATCATGCCGCATTCTGTCCATTTCTTCTTTGGGATTTTTTTCATCTATCTGTAATAATACAGTGAGCAGCTCCTCGGGTGCTACCACATAAATCATTTTACTGGCAGGGGTTGAAAAGACAGTAGCTGTAGCTGTGAACATTCTTCTCAGGACTAATGAGTCAAAGATGGAAATAAAAAGTTCATAAATTAAAGGTGTCCAGGCCTGTGATTCTGGTTTGGTTAAAGTCTGTTGTATGTAGTTACTTTCCAACAGTTCTTCTGTATGTGACTTTAAGTACACATACTAATGGCATGAGAAGATGAGAAGGATAATGGGGCTTGTAATGCTTTTGAGTTTTTAGCTGATTTTTTTTTGCAGCCTTTAAGTTTAGCAGGTAAAGTAATAAAAAATCTCCCAACTGAGCAATCCAATGGAAAAAAAACAATGATTCACATACTTTGGCTGATAAACCTGAGGAATCTCAGTGTGTGAAGGGAGATAGATGCTGATTTTTCAAATGAGCTGTAGTTTCTTTAGGCCAGAACTGCTATGTGTTGGTGCAGCTGTTAGGGAAGCTTTCTCCTAGGTTTTTTTGCAGGGAGACTTCTGTGAACTCGTTTTGACTCTTCACCTGTACATAACTGACTCAAAGCACAATAAAAGCATGGAGTGAAAGATGTGTCTTTTACAACATTACTTTTTATCTCTACACATATGCAAATGTTTAAAGTTTTTCTTAAAATTCAAGTAATCAAAATGCAGTCAAGTGCAATAAAATTACCTGGAGGTCATACATAGAAAAAAGCCAGTGGAGAGTTGTTTGTTCAGAATGGAATTGCTACAGAACATACATTGTCAATTTTGATTTGAAGAGAAAATCTTTATACAGCCCTTAAAAGCACACTGCTTGTTTTGCCTCATATCATGGTTAACAGATTTGTAACGTAAGTAGTGTAGTCCTAGTTGTAGCCAGTTAGTTCTTTCATGAAGTTCAGATTTAACTTCTTTTTTAAAGTGTTCTGCTATTTGGGCAAGTCCTCAAAATAGATACCAGAATGCATTATACATCAAGCTAATGTTCACCTTGCCTTTTTTGATTTGTTTAGAACAACATCCTTGAGACAGAATTCGTAGAAAGGTAAGTTGAGGTGTTTAGTTTTGGAGTATGACCTTTAGAATTCTGTGCAATTGTATTTAAAATAAAAATAATGCCTTGCCTTTGTGAAGGAGGCAAGAGAGAGAAAACACACATATGTGTCTACAGAGTAGCATTGGTAATAATAGTATCAACACATTCTGCTGCTCAAGTTGTTTAATAGATAATTGATGCACACTGTTAAACCTGCATCATACAGAATTAGTGTTAATTAGTTAAAGACAATACTGTTAACAGTAAAAGCCATTAACAACTCTATGTTACCGTGGTCATGGAATTTTACAGAAAAGCAGAAAGGATGTCAAGATTAATCAGCCAAATTGCATTTCCTCAAACTTTAATAGTCTTGCTTGTTCTTTTTTCCCTGGGAGATCTCAGCTGCACTACACCCTCAATGCACACCTCAAGACTTGAGAGAAGAGAGAGACAGTCCTATTGATCAGCACCCACCTTTCTGTCAGTCTTAAAGCTGCCCCTGATCCATGCTTATTATTTTGACAGTAACTTTCCATAACTTAGAATCCTTATCACAATATGTAGGGAATTGTAAATGCTGTGCTGAAGTTTCCCAGTTTTGTCAAGATACTATAATCTGGCCAGTAAAGAAGGTGGCCACTGAACATTTCTTACACAGCCAAATACTACTACTAAAAATGTAGCTGTCCGCTCATTTCAACCTCTAAAAGCTTTCTTGTTCTAGATATGTGATGCTGTTGCACACTACAGACTTCAGCAAAAGCTTGCTGACACGGTATGTTGGTTTTTGTGGGTTCAGGAAAGTAGAACAAATATTACAGAGATACTTCACTAGAAGACCAGGTGTGCCCTGGTCTTTAAGGCTACTGTGAACTTCTAGAGCGAGTAGACAAAAAGCCTTCCACCAAGTCGAGCTTTTGCAGAACTTCTCTCTGCTGCCACTACAACTTCTTTCTGCAGGGACAAAGAGCAAAGGTGAGCAAAATGCAACTGCAGGTGTATGGCTGCTGTAAGCTTCCCTTGTGGATTTTGACCATCTCATTAGTGTCATCTAGAAATGTGATGGGAAATGAGAGAGCAGCCCACCTCATAACCCATCTCATTAGTGTCATCTAGAAATGCGATGGGAAATGAGAGAGCAGCCCACCTCATCAGAGTAGCAGTTAAGAAAATAGTTTGGCAAAACAGACTTTCATTTGGGGAACTGGAGCAAGCTGGAACCAAATGACATGAGTCTCTTGCCAACATAAACTGCTTCTCAGGGCTAAGATCAATAGGGATGAAGGGGGAGTGTGGACTAGATGGTGCAACAGAAAGCAAATGCTAGGAGAATGGCCTCACTTGCACTTAGCAGTGCCTGTGTTTCAGGTATTGTTGGATATGCTCCCTAATCTAGCTGAGAAGAATTTCCAGGTGTTTCTCCATTGCATGTTTTAACACAAGAACTCAAACGTAATTTGTTGAAGACCTCTTCAGCCTGGTAATGAGGCTTCTTCTGTACTCACATGGAGAACCCCACTCCTCATGGAGGTGATGTTAGAGTGAGCAGAACATTTGGAACTCAGCTGAACAAGCACTAAGTAACCTACCAGCTGAAAAAAAGGCTCCTTAGTGCATCATACAAAGGTAGCAATTGGTATTTGGTAAAAAAATGGGCATCTGAGGGAGGTAAAGAGAAACAGGTACACAAATGCATCCTAAATCAGTCAAGTAGGAATTGGACCTCTATGCTTAGAAACACGTGACATACGAGTGATGTTCACTGCAGGTGAGAGCTAGGACAGCAAGCCTGTAAAGACTAAATGAGAGGGATGGTTTTGGGTGCCTGGTTTGCTCCACAGCTAAGCATCCACTTTGCGTACAGGTTGGTGTGAAGCCTGGAGGCACCTATGTTGCATTTCCCATGAAACTTTTCAGCATACTCCTAAGCAGTTTAGAATTCAGGCTGCTTTAAAGTGATTCAAATTTTTTAATTTAGGTGCCAAAATTTTGGCAACTCTGTAGCTCATCAATCTATAAAATGGGTTTAATTATTGGTTCAAAGAGTAATTTAACTATGTAAAGAACTTAAGATTTGAAAATGTGTAAGATACATGTGAGGTGTTAGCTAGTATATGCAAGTGTGGTAGAAGGATGGTATGAATCAATCAACAGTAAATTTTCTCACCCTTCTTTCAGATTTCACAGTGGTAACAGAACTCCCAAATCTTGATAGTTTCTGTAAAATAACACTGCTGGTTATAATGCTGCTAGATTTTTTTTAAGTAGGACTTCTTAGTTTCTCTCAGTAGTTTGTTTTCTGGTTACTTACCTCAGGAGAAATTAGGACATACAGTGCCTAAAGAAGAAAAAAAAGAAAAAGAGGAAATAAAAAGTCAGTGAAAGAGAGTAGAAGACCAATGATTACCCTGGATTACCCTGGCTCCTATATAGCAAAGTAATTTAGGAACAAACAGGAGGAGCCTGAGAGTTTTGCAGAGATTCAGAAACCTGAGAAAACCTTTTATTTTCTGGAATGAAGGCAGAACACACTTGGTATTTGTAGAGGATGTAATTAATTAGTTGTCATTCTAAACTTATGTCCAGAATTCACTTTCATGTATTCTTACCCAGTCCTCAGGACAAGGAGATGTCCATGATGTGCAGTGGTCTGTCACATTCCCTGAAGATGCCTGTCTTCCACTGAAAATATAAACACGGCCAGCAGCCCCACCAGACAGGATTGAGGTGACACCATTAGTTCGCAGTGGGGATGCCACAATCATTTCATCTGCATATATTACAAAGAGGATGTAACACAGCAGAAGTGAATTAATGGTAGACCAAAACACAGGAGAGCTGGCATTTACATGCCTCTAGATGCCATAATTCCTATAAATGATGACAACTAAAATGTTTCAATTTCTGATTGAGTTGCTTGGGATTTTAGAGAGGCTTCCTTGTAAGGCACAATGGAATACTGGTACAATTCAATTGAGAAAGCAGACTGTGTTTAGCACTTGTATGAATATGTAGGAGGAAATTTCCTGTTGCCAGAAGTCAAACACTTCAGTTCTGGTCTAGATTCATCAAGCTTTACCTAGCCCATCACTATCCAGATCACTTAGGTGTATGTCTCCTCCAAAATGAGAAAACCTCCTGTCCCCACTGAATGCACTGAGCAGAGAAGGCTTGGTGCTGTTTGACAGGTCATATACCAGAGCTAGTCCAGCTTGATGCAGCACTGAGGACATAAATAAAATCCTAGATGGGCTGTCTGGAAAAAAAAAAACCCAAAAACAGATGTTGAGCATCAGACATAGGAACTCAGGTTAAATACTTACAATTATAGATAATACTGGCATTACATAAAATGGACAAAATTAATATAGTGTATCAAATAACTTCAACAATTATATGGGATTAACATTAATTAGCACAGGAAAAAGTAATATTTTAGTCATAGTACCAGGGGAGAAATGCATTCAAGTCTGACTTCTGTAGTTTGGCATCCTCAATTCCTTACTGTCTACTGCCACAGTGAGGACAAAATACTGTGTTGTTTCAATTCTGAGAAATGTGCAGTCTACTAGAACATCACTGTTACATAAATAATGCAAAGTGGTAATGCTGTGAAGCCCATGTTAAGGAAGGAAGACCCACTGAAGTCGAGGCACAGTAAAGAGGACTCTACATACAAGGCATATACAGGTAATTACAGTGATTTCTATTTTTTTTTTAAATTATGTGGAAATTTAAAGGTCCCTTTTCCCTTAAACATTGTATCCCTACTCAAGTCATGCAGAAACAAAATTGCAGAAATGGTCTGCAATTTTCAGGACATACCTGCAGTAGGTGCACCCACCACCAAAACTTTCTTTGTGTTCCCGGCCACAGACAGCACACCACTGGCCAGAGACAAACCCATTCTGCCCATCTCCTGTTAGATTTTTAAAACACCTATGTAATTTCTACGGAATGTCACTTCAAATTATTCACAAATTCCCATACTAAAGAAGCAGCCCTACCTTGTCTCCAGTTATCTCAAACCAGCACTCTGTACTTGGTGGGTTATATCCGTACACCTTCCCAACACTCTGTCTGACATCCAGCAAGAGGGGATTGCAGCTTGAATTACAATGCAAAACAAATTTGTATGTAACAACATATCATTGTACATGTTCCCTCCTTTACTTTGGAATAATAGTGCCTGACAAGTTCTAGAAATCTACTTTAGTAATTCCTATAATTGTTCTAACTAATTACACAATTGTAATGAGTGCAGACTTAGTCTGTCTACCCACTTTTTTATCATCCAATACATCTTCATGTTTAATTTGCTTTTAAAAATGCTATCTCAAAGTAAGAGCTATCCATATGGTTATTTAAGGCACACTTACCCATCAGGATTTTTGTGACCTCTCTCCTCCCTCCCCACAGAAATTCTTATGTGTCTTTAAATAACAAAGACCTGCCCTAGAGAGGGTCTAAAAGTCCTTGTCTTCATAAGGAGGGGTAAAGATATAAAAATATTAATTTAATAAAAATATTCTAAGCAGAACAA